CACACACACACACACACACACACACACACACACACACACACACACTCAGTTCTACCACATTTCTCTTAGGATGTATTTAAATAGAGACTTCCCATACTCAAAATATTTATAATAGTCTCAAGACTACAATGCATGAAAGCAGAGACTAAGAGAATTAACACAGAGAATTCACAAAGATGCTTGCTTACCTGGTAATCTGGTTTTGTAAAATAATCCAAAGAGGAGATATGGTCCAGAAAGACGCTGAATTCTGGAGGAAGATGTTTCAGCATGAGCCGATGGTCATACCTCTCCTTAATAGAGCCTACTTGTTCCTTGGAAATAAAGAGAAAAGGAACCAAAATCAATTTATCTTGGCAATTATCCATTAAAAGCCCCTCAGACAGTCTTAAGGGAATGCACTAGGCAATGAGACAGTGGGTAATTAAACATAAAGCAATAACTGAGCTCTTTCTAATAGCTTAATGTACAGTGCCTTAAAGTACCAGAAAACTAGCTAGGCGCCAGTGGCTCACGCCTGTAATCCTAGCTACTCAGGAGACTGAGATCTGAGGATTATGGTTCAAAGCCAGCCTGGACAAGGAAAGTCCCTGAGACTCCTATCTCCAATAAAAAACCATCAGAACACTGGAAGTGGTGCTGTGGCTCAAGTGGGAGAGTGCTAGCCTTGAGCTGAAGAGCTGAGGGACAGCGCCCAGGCACAAAGTTCAAGCCCCACAACCGACAAAAAAAAAAAAAAAAGTGCCAAAAAACTGTCATGCAAACCAAAAGATTACCAGAGTTCTGTATCAGTGAACTAATGGTAAAACCAAAAGAATTTATCTTAAATTGAGATTACATTTATAATACATGTTTATAGTTTCCTAATCAAAGAACATAAGGTGACAAAAATTAAAAGCTATTTGAAGCTAGCAGGGGCAAGAGAGTCCCTGATACTCTTATTGCCAATTAACCATCAAAAATGTGAAAACGGGGCTGTTGCTCAAGTGGTAGAGCTCTACCCTTGTGTAAAGAGGTCAGGGATGGTGCCTAGGCTCTGAGTTCAAACCCAGGACTGGCACCAAAAATAATTACAAAAACAAAAAACCTAAAAGTTTACTTGACTTTCAAAAGAAAAAGACCTACAAATCTAATCAGTAGGTAAGTTTATACTTATATCTACTCTGCATGTACCTAGAAAAAAATTTAACAGCTCTCTAACATCAAAAGAGTATATATATATATATATATATATATATATATATATATACATAAATATATATATATATATACATAAATATATATACATACACACATACATATATATATACATATATATACTCATTAGCTCTCTCAAAAACATGGTATATATACTTTTTAGAGAAACTGAGGTTTTAAAAATTGTGAAAATACTATACAGAGGGGTTACAATTACATAGGCGAGGTAATGAGTACATTTCTTTTCTTTTTTTTTTTGGGTCCGGTTGTGGGGCCTGAACTCTGGGCCTGGGCGCTGTCCCTCAGCTCTTCAGCTCAAGGCTAGCGCTCTATCATTTGAGCCACAGCGCCACTTCCAGCTTTTTTCTTTTTGCTTATGTGGTGCTGAGGAATCGAACCCAGGGCCTCATGCTTGCAAGGCAAGCGCTCTACCACTGAGCCACCTTCTCAGCCCCAATGAGTACATTTCTTATCAAGCATTGTTACCTCCTCCTTTGTTTCCCCTTTCCACCCCCTACCCCCCCAATCCCTCCCTGAATTTAGGGCTTTTTTGCTTGCTAGGCAGGTGCTTAAACCATGCTGTTCGCCCTTTGCTCTCATTATTTTTTTTTTGTCTTTTATTTTTTGGTACTGGGGATCGAACCCAGGACGTTGCGCTTGCTAGGCAAGCGCTTTGCCACTGAGCTACATCCCAGCCCTCATTATTTTTTTTTAACAGACTCATTTTTTCGTCCAGGTCAGCCTGAACTATGATCTTCCCATTTTTTATTTCTTTTTCTTTTCTTTCTTTTTTTTTTTTGGGGTCCAGTCATGGGGCCTGAACTCTGGGCCTGGGCGCTGTCCCTCAGCTCTTCAGCTCAAGGCTAGCGCTCTACCACTGGAGCCACAGCACCACTTCCGGCTTTTTCTGCTTATGTGGTGCTGAGGAATCAAACCCAGGGCCTCCTGCATGCGAGGCAAGCACTCTTCCACTGAGCCACTTCCCAGCCCCCATTTTTATTTCTGAGTAGCTAGAATGACAGGCTTGTATGACCATGCCCAGATTGTTTGCTTGTGAAGGGTTCTCATAAACTTTTTGCTTTGCTGGCCTCAAATCATAATTCTCTTTATCTCAGTCTCTGAAGTAGCTATGGTTATAACTATGAGTCACCACACTTAGTCTAGGTTTTAAGTTTCATATGCAAGCACATTTTACTTTTTTTTTTTTGTCCTCTGTAGTGCTTTAACTCTGGGCCTGGAAGCTGTCCTTGAGCAATTCAGCTCAAGGCTAATGCTCTACCACTTGAACCATAGTGCCACTTCCAGTTTTCTGGTGGTAAATTGGAGATAAGAGTCTCATGGACTTTCCTGCCCAGGGCTGGCTTCAAAGCCCAATCCTAAGATCTCAGCCTCCTGAGTAGCTACAATTGCAGCTACGATTACAGCCACCAGTGCCTGGCCTACAGTTTACTTTTATTTAAATTAAAATGTACATTTTTACTGATAAAAACAAAACCATACATGTTAGTGGTGTGTTAGATGGTGTTTCAATACACTATATATATCTTATGTAATGTTTATTATATATATTTTCAACATCAATTCATACTAAGTATACATTTTTTTCTTCTGTCCCTGACAAAAATTAACATAGACTGTTTCCAAAATTACCTTGTCTTTTATTTTTCTCCAAGGCAGCTGACCAACCACAAACTCCACCAACATGTAGAATAAGGACCAAAGGTCATCATGTCTTCCCATTTCCTTGGTAGATAAAAACAAAATTCAGTGACACTGTATCACAAGTTCTTCTAAAAGTATTAAATTGTTAAAGGCCTAGCCATTTTATTCATCTTTTAGGCTTAACAATTTTTATGTATTTCTAAAAAAATTTCTTCTGTATTTACATAGTTACATAGCTACACAGCAATCTGATCAATAGTGTATGTATATATATGTTATATATATATGTGTGTGTATGTGTTTATATATACACACACACACTTTTTGATAGGAAGACTACCAGCTAGATGGATGTACAGCTCAGTAATGATAGAGCTCTTGCCTAGCATGCATGACGCTGGGTTGGAAGCCCACAACTGTCAAAAGTAAACAGATAAGCAAAAACTACCTTAAAACCTAGAAATCCTAAATATGATAATCTACCAATTAATGAGTTTATTCAGTGTTTGTGACTTTAACTTCACAATCTCACAAAACTGTGAGTTTATGTAATCATTTAATCTCAAAAAATTATTTTAAATAAAGAACTAATAACGTTTAGCATGCACAAGACTCTGGATTTATTCCTAGTATGAAAAAATATTAGTAAAGAAAAAATTTCCCACTTTTGTCCTGTGTATATAAAGACACTGCACACATATACAGATAACTCCAGTTTCCATACCTACCCTGTTACGATGAGCATTGATGGATGCGTAACGAACTGTCCCTCGAAAGCCTGCCACAGCTCGGGGCTACAACAAAGCCAAGCAAAAACAAAAAATCAATTTTTTCTTTTTTTTCGTCCGGTCGTGGGGCCTGAACTCTGGGCATGAGTGCTGTCCCTCAGCTTTTCAGCTCAAGGCTAGCACTCTACCACTTGAGTCACAGTGCCACTTCCAGCTTTTTTCTTTTTGCTTATGTGGGGCTGAGGAATCGAACCCAGGGCCTCAGGCATGCAAGGCAAGCACTCTACCACTGAGCCACCTTCCCAGACCCCAAAAAAATCAATTTCAAACACCAACAGATTCCATTTAACTGGGCACATGAAAAGGAAGGGGAAGGGATAGAGTTAAGGGAAAAGAACATTAAGTTTCAGAAAGTGTGGTATCTGAATCACGACTGCTGCCAACCTCTCCCAGCTAGACTAGGGGCCTCCACCATTCCAGACTTCTGGAGCCAATAAGGAAGAGCTAACCTCTTTCCTCACTGAAGAGACTAAAATGGTTTTCTTCTGGCAGAAGCACTTTTCACCTTGTTCCCCAGCTGAATGTTGATGAGGAGACATAAGTCCTGACCTAATTCAAGCAGAACTAGGAAGCAACCTTCTAGCAACTCTGTCTCCAACAGAGTGCTGTCTCCATTAAGCTAGCTCTATTAAGGCTCCACTAGTCTCTTCCCTCTATCCCATGATCTGGGGATATCTTTCTTTGTCTCTGCTTAGTCCTATTTAGCAACAATCTTACTACTTCAGTTTTAGCACAAACCCTGAACCCTTAGAATCTGTCCACCCTTGACATCTGACCAAAACCTTTCTCTCTCACCCTCTCTGCCTTATCACTCCACCTTACTAATAATTCTTTCAAGTCTAAAACCCAAAATACCTCATTTCCAACAACAAAAACTTAAAAGCATGCACAGAAACAAGAAAGCACGACATCTGAATGCGGGGGGGGGAGGGCGGGGAGTGAGCAGAAGAAAATGCCTGTGAGAAGGATTTGATGCTGGAATCAACTGGAAAAGACTTCAAAGAAAAATGATAAATATTCACAGAAATAAAGAAAAACTTGCTTAAAGAAGTATATTAACAATGTTACATCATATTAAAAAATAACAAAAAGCCAGGCATCAGTGGCTCACACCTGTAATCCTAGCTCCTCAGAAGGCTGAGATCTAAGGGTTGAAGTTCAAGGCCAGCCTGGGAAGGAAAAGTCCATGAGCCTCGTATCAGCAAAAGAAGGGAAGGAAGCTGGAAATGGAGCTGTAGCTCAAGTGGTAGACCATTAGCCTCAAACAAAAAGAAGCTCAGTGACAGCACCTAGGCCCTGAGTTAATGGCCTGGGACCAGCACCAAAAATTAATTAATAATGTAACAAATGTAATATTAAAGAAAACCAAAACACAGAGTTTAGAAAGTTAAAAGAATTTCCTGCAAGCTGGGTGTCCATGGTTCAGACCTGTAATCCTAGCTACTCAGGAGGCTGAGATCTGAGGATTATAGTTCAAAGCCAGACTCTGATCTCCAATTAACCACCAGAAAACCAGAAGTGGCTCACAGTTGTACAGCACTAGCCTTGAGCTGAAGAGCTCAGGGATAGCACCCAGGCCCAGAGTTGAAGCCCCACAACTGAAAAAAAACAAAAAAACAAAAAACAAAAAAGAATTTCCTGTAAGTATCATAAATCTGAGTTCTGGAGTTGAAAGTTAGGCATGGCAGCACATATCTATACCACCACTTTGGGGGCTGAGGCAGAAGAATCCTGAATTTGAGACCATCCTGGGCTGGCCTCAAAAGATAGATAAATACATGAATAAATGAATAAATAAATGAAACCAAGAATTGTAGCATGTAGGAAGGGTATCAGACTGCAAGAAAGGTCTCTAAATGCCAAATGGACATGTCCTTACTATCATACCATTCTAAGCCTGCTGCTAATGGCTATAACTTTAAAGCTGTAACTCTCAAAAACAAGACTTATTAACTTCAGTGTCTAATATAATCATACAAGATATAAGCCGCTTCTTAGATCTCCAACATCAATTATTTTCAATGAGCTACGTTCCCAAGCCATAGATAACATTCATTCTAACACACAATTAGCATTTCTCTAGAGTGATACTATAAAGGGTATTTTATGTAATATGAAATATCTTACTGGTCTGACGTCACCACAGGAGTTGGTAAATTGTCGAGCCAAGCCAAAATCAAGCATAAAACATTTCCTACATGTGCTAGGAAAGCGACCCATGGCAAAGTTGGACTAGAAAATAAAGGAGGAACATGAACATATTCTTATAACTTAGTCCTTACATTCAATCTTATTTTCTCTAAATTTACTCTTCTATTTAAAAGTCTACGTAACATATATTCCAGATAGTCTAGTAAAGTCAATAATGCTTATAAAACATTAAAAAAAACCTTAGTTCTTTGTTCTACTAATGCCTAACATCAGATGAACCTTGAGCAAAAAAAAGAATTTAGGCAACTGTTAAACACAATATAACAATGACTTGCGTAAAGTGGGAACGCTACGTTATTTGAAGTTCTAGTCTATGGCAATGCTTAAATGGTAACCCAACCCTTACTTCTTAAAATGAGAGAAATAAGGAATGTATTGAAAAACACACAGTTCATCAATTTCCTATAAGGATCTGAAAGTTGACTTTCACTAAGTCTAAAGTAAAACTACCATTCAAGGAAACATTTCTAAACAGACTTAAGGAAAACATACTTTGCATTTTTCTCAAAAATAAATGTAGCAATTTATACAGGATTCTAAGTACTCACATATAGTGAGACCAAAAGAGGGTACTCAGAGGAGAGAATCACAAAGGTGCAATGCCTAAGTGCCTCTTCATGCTTACATAAAATAACATACACACTGAAACTAACTCCTAAGATATGGAAACAAAAAACTTTTTCTGATGATTCTGACTTCTTTTATATGGTATAGACACATGCATATCATCGGGAGGCTTGTGGAGGAGCACAGAACTCAAGGGAAAAAGGTTGAAAAAGTGCAGCAGTGGAGCTCACAGGACACTGATGAGAATGAACTATACAATTCTTGGGTGGAGATAGGAGGGAGGGACTGGGAGAGAGTGAGGGAATAGATGAGACTGTATAAAAGGAAATGCAAAGCTGGGCACTGGTGACTCATGTCTGTCATCCTAGCTACTCAGGAGGCTGAGTTCTGAGGATCTCGGTTCAAAGCCAGCATGGGCAGGAAAGTCTGTGAGACTCTTATCTCCAATAAAAACCACTAGAAAACTGGAAGTGGCGCATTGGCTTAAGCAGTAGAGCGCTCGCCTTGAGCTGAAGAGTGCAGGGACAGCACCTAAGCCCAGAGTTCAAGCCCTATGACTGACCAAAAAAAAAAAAAAAGGAAATGCAAAATGTAGCTGGGCAACAGTGGCTCGAGTCTGTAATCCTAGCTATTCAGGAGGCTGAGATCTGAGGATCACGGTTCAAAGCCAGCCTGGGCAGGAAAGTCTGCGAGACTCCTATCTCCAATTAACCACCAGAAAACTGGGTGGTGCTATGGTCAAGTGGTAGAGTGATCGCCTTGAGCTGAAGAGCTGAGGGACAGCGCCCAGGCCCAGAGTTCAAGCCCCACAACCGACCAAAAAAAAAAAAGGGAAATGTACTCATTACATGACTCATATAAATGTAACCCCCCTCTATACACCACCTCTATAATAACAATAAAGTAAATTTTAAAAAATCAATGTAACACATCCCTTTCCATAAAGGAAATGCAAATGAAAACAACTTTAAGATTCCGTTTCTACCCGTTAGGCTGACCAACATCAAAAATCCAAACAACAAATTCTGGCAAATTCTCGCAGGGATGTGAGAAAAAAAGGAATCCTATTGCATTGTTGGTGGGAATGTAAACTAGTACAACCACTCTGGAAGGCAGTTTGGAAGATTCCTTAAAAAAAAACCAACAACAACAAAAAACTAAACAGAACTTCCCGATATCACACCAGTCTTGGGTATCTACCCAGATCTTTATAAGTCAGGATAAAGTAAAGACACTTGCATATTTATCTTCATCGCTGCACTATTCACAATAGCTAAGCTATGGAAACAGCCCAGATGCCCTAAAACAGATGAGCGGATCAATAAAATGCTGTATATAGCTGGGTGTTAGTGGCTTACCCCTGTAATCCTAGCTACTCAGAAGGCTGACAGCTGAGGATCACTGTTCAATGCCAGATGGGGAAGAAAGTCTGTGAGACTCTTATCTCTAATTAACTACCAAAAAAAAAAAAAAAAAGCCAGAAGTAGAGTATGGTTCAAGTGTTAGAGTGCTAGCCTGAATCAAAAAAAAGAAAAAAGCTCAAGGACAGTGCCCATACCCTGAGTTTAAGACACAGAAGCAGCACGCACACACAAATGTAGTATATATACACAATGGAATTTTACTCATCTATTAGAAAATATAAGATTATGTCATTTGCAGGAAAATGAATGGACCTAGAACAAATCATGCTAAGGTAAGCCAAGTTCAAAGACACACAAATGGCATGTTTTCTCTCAGATGTGGAAGCTAGCTTTAAAATATAATGGAACAGTTATAGGACTAAGCATTCACACACGAACAGTCAGATGCCCTTAGGGGAGGAATCCAAAGATTATAACTTCTCTGAACATGTAAAATACTATTTATGAAAATAAATTCCAGGAAATGAAAACATGGGTTTTGGGTGGTGGTGGTAGTAGTATTTGTTTTGGCTTTTGGAGAGGGGAAAAAGGAGTGCAGAAGGGAGGGAGGAAGGATACACAAAGCAATCATGCTATTCAGTATGCACTATGTGAAAAAGGAAGCATGTAACTTTGGGCTGGGACAGGAGGGGGAAACTGGGGGAAAGTGGGGAAAGTGAAGGAAAGAGTGACATTGTCCAAAAAAAGGAATGTACTGATTACCTGACTTATGAAATGGTAACCCCTCTGTACAACACCTTAATAAAAACAATAAAATTATATTAAAAAAAAAAAGAAAAAGAAAAATCAGTGTAGCTGGATGCTGATAGTTCACACCTATAATCCTTGCTACTCAGGAGGCTGATATCTGAAGATCGTTTAAAGTTAGCACAGGTAGGAAAGTCCATGATACCCTTAACTCCAAAAAACAAAATAAAAAGAAACCTACAATACTCAAATCATGACACAGAATGTACAAAACAGAAGTTTCTAACAAAAACAAAAGAAAAAAAACAAAACCCACTATATTTCTATAGTAGCACTCAAGAGAAAAGTAAGGTGGTTTTTTTTAGAGCTGATTTTTTTTTTTGGTCAGTTGTGTGGCTTACACTTTGGGCCTGGGCACTGGACCAGGTGATGGGAAATAGAGCACAGCATATGAGCTAACAGCAAAGTCTCTCGCTACACACACACTTTTTCTTTCTTTTAACATAGTCTAACTAGTTGTACAAAGGGGTTTCAATTCAACATGTCAATTTATGTCCAATGTCACACTTGCCTTCATTCTCCCCTATTTATTCTAACTCCACTCATCCCCCCCTCAAGTTACCTACCTCTATTTTCACATATGTACACTGAGTATCACGACTGTATTCAACCACCACTTCCCTCTTCATTCATCTTTCCCCCTCCCAATAAATTCCATCCTCTTCAGAGAGGACATCTCTCAGCTTCCTAGTATTTATTTTGTTAAATTGCTAATTGCTCAAAGCAAAGTTCATATGTATTTTTAACCAGTTTCGGGGGGAAAAATTCAAAGAACTACTAATTTAGATGTCAAGCTGAGTAATTAGCAATGATAGCACACATAATAACAAGAGTGGAGCATAAAATATTTTTAATTTGGCTGGCAAATAACATTTGTTATGAGAAAAGCTCTTAAAAATAAGTTGTGGTTTGTAATTACCATTCTCAGAAAAACTGCAAGTTATAATTTGCTTCCAAGCTTTTACAGAAATTAAATATTTCTTTGTATTTAACCACAGTAAGTACAGAAAGCTACATTTGTAATTTATTGTTTCTTATCATACCACTAAGGGTACCAAACAAAACCCATCTGTGTTGTGATAGAAAAAGCCCCTACCGGTTTGATGTCTCGGTGCAGAAATCCCACAGAATGGATGCTTTCAATAGACTCCAGAATCTGTTTCCCCAACCGAAGAGTAGTGCTAATGGTGAATGTGCCCCGAGATTGGCTACGGCGAAGATCTGCCAGATTCCGACCCTGTGAAACCAGATGATCACTTTTAAACATGATAGTGAAGCTGCTATAAGACAGGGAAATTATTCACTTACATTAAAAATGCTGTGACTGAAATGGCAAAGGTTTTCCCCAAGTTGTAATCCTCTCACTTAACAGAAGATAACCTCTTACTAACAGGAGGGTTTCAGACAGATTTAATAATAATTCACTGGGCACTGGTGGCTCATACCTGTAATCCTAGCTACTCAGGAGCTGAGGTCTGAGGATCATAGTTTGTAGCCACCCCAGGCAGGAAAGTCTGTGAGACTCCTATCTCCATAAACTACTCAAAAAGGCTAGAAGTGGTGCCATGGCTCAAGTGGTAAAGTGCTAGCCTTGAGCACAAAAGAGACTCAGGGATAGATCCTAGGTCCTGAGTTCAAGCCCCTGGACTGGCAAAAAGAAAAAAAAAGGAAAAGAAGAACTAGCTTTTTAATATAACAAGTTTCTGATTCATCATGTTTCCCTTTATCTCAAATATGATATAACAAACATTCAATTGCTTGTAGCAACAGATAAAAGCAATGGCAAGGACCTAGCATGTCCAGATGCATACATTCATTAGGATTGTTAGTCCTCACAGCATCCCAAACATAAATTGTTTTGCTCCTTTTTTACAGATGAGGAAAGTTGAGGTTCAAGTCAATGATATATGAAGACAGGTAGGGAGGCAGATAGGTATACAGGTAAGTAGGAGATGAGGGCAGGAGAGGCAGAGGAAGGGAGAGAGGGAGGGAGAGGGAGCGGGAAAGGAAGGAAGGAAGGAAGGAAATTCATTTAAAACTACTCAGGTAGTGAGGATAAGGAAAAGGAGACCCATAGATGAAGTTACTCTGACCAAATTATAAATAAAAATGCAATTTTGTAAGTGATAATTTAGAAAAAATAGTTTATCCCCAGGAGACTATGCTGTAGTTTTAATTAATATTCCAATAGTTTTTTTCTTCAAAAATCCAAAAATTTGATAGATAATATCGGAACTTTACTTGTAAACAACGAACATCACCATAATATAACTCTAAAGGAAATCAATTATGCTTGACTTTTTTTTTTTTTGGTCAGTCCTGGGGCTTGAACTCAGACCCTGGTTGCTATTCTTGAGCTCTTTTTGCTCAAGGCTAGCACTCTATTGCTTTGTGTCACAGTGCATCACTTTCAGTTTTCTACTGGTTAACTGGAGATAAGAGTCTCATGGACTTTCCTGCCCTGGCTGGCTTTGAACAATAATCCTCAGATCTGAACCTCCTGAGTAGCTAGGATTAGATGCACTGGTTTGAGCCACGAGTGCCCAACTATGCTTGATTTTTTTTTTATATTAAGAATGATTTGCTGGGTGCCAGTGGTTCATACTTATAATCCTAACTACTCTAGAGGCTGAGATCTGGGGTTCCCAGTTTGAAGCTAGTCCAGGTAGAAAAGTCCATGAGACTCTTATCTCTAATAAACTACTCAGAAAAAGCCAGAAGTGGCCCTGTGGCTCAAGTGATAGAGCGCTAGCCTTGAGCACAAAGAAGCTCAGGGACAGTACCCAGGCCCTGAGTTCAAGCCCCAGGACTGGCAAAAAAAAAAAAGATTCAAGCCAGATGTTTCACTGAAAAAAAAAAATTCAAACCTCATACAATATAAATAGAACATATGGATAGCAAAATCTGAGAAGATGGATGCAGAGTTGACAAAAAAAATAGGGAAGGGTTACTAATGGGAGTAGGAGTTTTTGTGCCAGTCTTGTGCTTTAACTCAGGGTCTAGACATAGTTCCTAAGCTCTTTTGCTCAAGGCTAGTGCTCTATCACTTGAACTACAGCTTAATTTCAGTATTTTTTTGGTGATTCATTGGAGATGAAAATTTTACAGACTTTCCTGCCCAAGCTGGCTCCAAGCCACAATTCTCAGATCTCAGTCTTCTGAGGAGCAAGGATTACAGGTGTGAGCCATCAGTACTCAGGTGGACTTTTTTTATATAGTAATATGCAATGAATAAAAAAAGTTCACTTCTCTCAAGTAATTCCATAAATTTAATAATATCTCAATACAAATGCAAGTAGATTTTTTTTTTGGGTCCGGTCATGGGGCCTGAACTCTGGGCCTGGGCACTGTCCCTCAGCTCTTCAGCT